CGTAACTTCCAAAAAAAAATTTAGTCTTCACTTTATTTGTCATATCAATCAACAGGTTGTGTATATAAACCTGCTTTCCCCTCTGGTCTCTCAGTCACTGACGAAAGCTAGTGGATACTAGCTGAAACGTCTGACGTTTTCAAAATCATATCCAGTTGCTTGAGTAACTGTTTTTTGGCATAAATACTGTGTTGTGCGGCCTTAAGGCACGAATGACCTTACAGGGGGTAAGGAGGAAGGGTCAGAGGGTAAAGGGGCGGAATAATTAGTATTAGGTCACGTGATGTGTCTGTTCAGCCGGCGGGAAACGAGATTACATGTGTGGAGAAGAAGAAGAAGAAACAGAGCAAAAACAAATATTTTCCTTCTGTGGAGGTAAACATATAAACAAGCCCCACCTTTAGCGCCCAGTCAATGGACGACGGCCCCTCGTCTCCCGGAATGCCCGGATGTACGATGAGGACGGGTCGGGCCGGGTTGTTATACAGGCTGGGCGGGACCCGGCGAGTCAGGAACGGGCACACCACCTAACAACGCAACAAGGCAAGCAGAGATGGCACACTTCAACCCTTTGTCCTAAAGCGCCCCCTGGCAGAACATCTAGAGACTGCAGCATACTGTAAAATAACACACACACACACACACACACACACACACACACACACACACACATAAACACATCACAAAAAAGTTCATATAGATTGTTCAAAACTACAAATAATGAAGAAAAATATTTAAGTAATGAAAATATGACGGTGAGAAATGCAGTCACAAGGCTTTGAATTAGCTACCACCAATTTCATATTGAAATCAGAAGGCATACTCACACTCCCCTGGAACTACATGTAAGATTATGTAAAATTAATATTTTAATTTGAACAGGTTAGAGGACGAACGCCATTTTGTAATAGAATGTGAACTGTATAGTAAAGAAAGAAATGAACTGTATAGGTTTGTACAAAACCTATTCCCGTATTTTATACACTTTTAAGTGTAAAAAATACGGGAATAGGTTTTGTACAAACCTATACAGTTCTGTAGAAAACTTTATATTCCTAAGGCAACTACACAAACCATCAATCGAAAAACACATCTGTTCCTTTATTTCTTCATTCATTCATAAACACATGTAAAGTTTTTAACGTTATCTTCTCACCAGGTCCGGCTGATCTGCCTCTACCACCTCTGTCATCTTCTCACCACGTGGGTTGTCATGGACAATCACGTGATGGCCACGTGATATCAGCTCCAGGTACAGCCGCTGGGACAGCCCGTTGAAGGAGTTGCACAGAAAGGTGATTTTACGCTGTCTTCCCGAGGATTTTGTCGGATCTGGAGCGGCGAAGTCCACCCACGGGAGAGGGGAGACCTCCGGGGGTTGCTGGGATACCTTCTGAGATGGTTGCTGGGACAGCTGCTGGGGTACCTGCTGCAATGGTCGCTGGGAAAGGAATTTGAGCTGAAGTGACGTCGCAGCTGTGCGGACTGCAGACTTCTGCAGGTACAGCATGGACCGCCAGGTAGCGCGATTCTTCATGGTGGCGTTTATTATCATCTTCCTAGGATTCCTGAGACATGGAAGAACACAAGGTTGTAAACAAGAGTCAATCAAACGTCAGAAATGTGACATAAATTGCTGTGATGTAATGTGTGTGGCCATTTTACACTTGCTATTATGTTAATTAGCTGGGGTACGTAAATGGTAGCCTGGTTGCCTAATCTAATTACTAGTAACTGCCGAGTCTCTTTTGTCCACAGAAAGGACAGAAGGGCTAATTTAGGTTAACCGAGTGATACATTAAAGAGTTCAGAGACTGTGGCTTAAGTTACGACAACGAGGCAACCTTATTCTCAAGCACGCTCAGTCAGCGAGTCAAGTCTAGGGTTCAATAATTATAAAGGGTTAACTATCCTACAAAAACTCGGGGAACATAAGACAAATCAGACACAGTTTGGCCGGAAAAAGGGAAAAGCTTTAATTTGTGACTTTTCCGAAACAAACACAGGTGGAGAAAGGAGTGGTGGTGGGTGAAGAGACAAACAAAAGCAAGACCGGCACCCGCGTACCGTCAAGTCGAATGGCGTATCACGTGAACGTATCAAAGGTTACGGGCCGAAATAAAAGAAACAGGGGTTTTCTAGACAATTAACAAAAATTACCAAAGGTCAATTTTTCCCAAATGCCCCGTCCCGAGGTATATATGGTGAGATAACCCTTGGTCAGGCGCGATAACCACCAAATAAACCGTTGTTTATGAGGTGGTTATTACACCTGACCATGGATTATATCACCATATACACCGAGGAGAAGGCGGGGCATTAACGTTATTATCATATAGCCCATCCACCTGACAGTTATTTGACACAAATTCCTTTATAAAATTCCTCCATTGCCAAACTTCTCAAATTTATGTTACGTGGAACCAGAGATCTAGGCAATCATATGTGGTGACCACGTGACTTTGGAACAGTACCACTTTTAGTGGGGATGTCAAAAATTATGTTTAGTCTTTTTCTGTTTAAATTTCATTTATATCTTTTTATTTGTGTTGTATTTTGAAGTAAACTATTCAAAATGGACTACAATACGTTTTTGATAGATAGATACTACAAATCTAACACTATTGTTATTGCATATTGCCTGCCCCCTGTATAATGGTAAGGTCCAAAAAGTGGTCGATTATTCTGACTACTGACCACTTTTGAGGTTACGGCCTGATAGCCCATGGCAAATGGAGCCTTCTGATTGGTCGAGGCCTTCTGGCTATATGATAATAAACCCTACACTTAGACAGTGATCAATAACCCTCGTGGTAATAGAATCTCTCAGGTTTGAATCACTGCAATGTACATAATTATGGTGTTCTTCAAACGGAAAAGCTTGCCTGTGTCATTGAACGATTCACAGTGCTGACAACATAGCCTTGATATCGATGTTGGACTATTTCCAGGACCGAGGCAGCTTCTCGGCTCCCGGACCAGCATGCTAGCCAGCGCCTTGGCTCCAGGGCCAACATACCCGTAAGGAAATTATACCGCAGCCCCGCCTGAGCCTGAGAAACGGTCGCTAACTCGGGGAGTAGCGCGCTAATCTTCTGGCACCAAGGCTACTGATGCCAGAAATCTAAAACCTGGAGGCGTCTTTGGTCCACAGTAAGTGACATAATTCAAGATATCGATGTAAGGTTCCAGCGGTCACGGGTTCAGTTCCAGCTGGCCGCACTCAACGTCGTGTCCTTGTGAAAGAAACACGACCCAGATGGAATTTTAGTTACTTCGGCTTGGTTAATTCTTGGACCCTCTCCTTTCCTTTCTGGGTTGTGCGTTTCTCACAACCATACTCAATGCAATGTAGACAAAAGCGTACACAGTCCAAGTACGGTCATGAACAAGGGCCATGAATTAGCTAGCCTAATATAAATACTAGTAAGACGCAAACGGGATGGTGACCAAGATCGATTTTGTTTGTTTGGTATAACCTGTAGTAAAGCGTCTTTTAGGTAGAACACACCGATTTTGTACAGTAATGCTGGACTGTAAGGTTTGACCCCTACTGTTTCGTAAGTACAATCTGATATAGTTTAACGTGCTTGTACAGTCGCTCTCCTTAAACACAGCTAGAGGACGTCCCTAGACGGAAGCTAGGTACTCGTTTCCACATGAGGTTGAAAATAGGTGTAAAGTGCCATCTAAAAAGCAACAACAATCGGCCATGCAAGAGCATAACCCCACAAACATGTACAAGAAGAACTGAGAAGAAGAAAACAAACCTGGACTGTACTGTGTGTAGACGAGGTTGTCCTCCCAAGTCTTGAGCCTGAAGCTGAATAGAGGAAAACTGATCGGTCTTCTGTTGTTGCTCGTTTTCCTTACGGCGCCACCAGGGCGAGACGGGGTCAAGGTCTGGCCGGTGATTGGCCAGTCCGTACGACACGACGGTGTTTTGTGACCAGGAAATTTTATCCGGACGTGCAATAAATAATTCCCAACAGCTGGGTTCAAGCGCGAGCATGTTTCATGAAATTACGTAAGAAGTAGATGGTGGAGATTAAGCCCTTTAAAAGGGCAGTCGCATGGTAACAGCGTTAATCACGCGTCACGGCTGTGGAATCAGCTGCCTCAGTCTGATAAAGAGGCCCGCAGCATTAGTATATTTACCTCCATGAAAAATGGAGGTATTGTTTTTGGCGTGTCTGTCTGTATGTATGTATGTATGTATGTATATATGTATGTATGTCTGTGTGTCTGTCTGTCTGTGTTTCCGCAACTTTGTGGTCAGCATAACTTCAGAACGCCTTTATGGATTATAAAGATATTTGGTATGTTGGTAAGTCTGTCAGACCCTCCACCTTCTCCTGCTTCTCAACCTCCAGCAGGCAGAAGTCCAGGAAGTCTCGCCGGTTCTCGCGATCCAGGTTCTCGTGATGACGAGATACCTCCTTCTTTATCACCTTTTGGACCTTGAGAAACTCTTCCAACGCATTGATGCCGGCTCAATTTACTGTAAAATACCCGGGGAATAGTCAGAACTGGAGCGTTTTTGGTGACAAAGTAGCTCAGGAACTTTCCTCTTATATATGAACTGCCAATCTGATGTAAGCTATTCAAGAGGCAATAGTTATTGTTGTTCAAAGGGTAGTTACTTTGTATGATTTGTATGTAAGAGTGGCTACTTACAACTATCATAGATAATGGACTGAATAGAATGTCCCAGTTTTCTACCTACCGACGGGAATAAACCGTAGCAAGGGAAAAACGGTGATGATCTGTCCAGTTACAAGTTCAGTTAAGACCTTGACATCAGCCTCTAACAGTTCTCGGAACGTCTCGTCCCGGTAGTCATAGCGCTTCCCCATCAAAATGGAACAGATGACGTTTGCGACAGCCACGGTGACGTCATGGGCAATGTCAGAGGGGTTCCCATTGTATTCTGCAATCTGAACGAATTTCTCAGTATCTGCAAGTACGTGAGGTAGAGAGAAGAGGGAAGCGGTCTCATAGGTTTAACTATTAGTATTATAATCGCACATTTTACAGACCACATGCCTTTTTTCTTTATATTCCAACATATATTCACAAGACGTGGAGACGGCCCACTCAAGTTTTTCCAACTTATATTAATGCCGCTACCAACACATGTGGCAATACAATACTCATTTTCACCTGAGCAAAGTGAGGAATGTCGTGCCTTTCCCAAGGGCACAAGATCGGCGGCATGTCAGGACTCGAACTCGGGACCTCTTTTTTCCGAGTCTAGCACTCTGCCGCTACGTCAGACGACTTCGCTTAAATGCCCACATTCCTTTTTGACGGAGGTATTGTCAAAAGTTTTCCTCATTAGGGTAAAAATAGCACCACGAACTACAAAATATACCAAGAAACAATGTTCATAAAAATATATGATGTACTGCCCTCTCTACATAGTTTATTTGCATCGTGTCTGTTATACGCAGACGACGTTGTATTACTTTCCGAGTCCGATAAAGGACTGCAAAGCGCTCTAAATAGATTGAAAGACTTCTGTGCCAAATGGAAACTTCAAGTTAATTTAAAGAAAACGAAAGTTATTATTTTTAACAAATCTGGTCGGTCTTTCCCACACCAAAGTTTTATGTTTGGACAGGACAAAGTGGACATAGTCCACTCCTACTGCTACTTGGGCCTGAATATTACCTCATCCGGTAGCTTCTCTCTTGCAATAAAAACAGCTCTCACTCAAAGCAAGGAAAGCCATGTTTAGTCTCAAATCTTTACAACGTTCTTCTGTCTCTCCGAAGTGCCTGCTCAGAATATTTGACGCTTGTATCAAACCAATACTTCTGTATGGGTGTGAAATCTGGGGAAAAGATCCTGTAAACGAGACCTCACCAATCGAAAGTTCCCATAACCGTTTCTGTAAGAATGTACTTGGGGTTCATAGAAATTGTAGTTTTGTAGCAGCTAGAGCAGAACTAGGAAGACTCCCGTTAGATTTAGATATATCACTGCGTACTGTTAAATTCTGGACACACTTGACACAACTTAATACCGATACACACCCTCTGCAAGTTGACGCACTCCTGTTACAACGTAATTCCCTGTCATATAGTCGTAGACGGACATTGTTACAGCGAGTGAAGGAGATCCTCGATCACTGTGGATATTCCTACCTACTGCATATTGACAGTACAACCTGTGATCCTCAACATATGTATAAAGTATTAAGGACAAGGCTTTCAGACATGTACATTCAAACTTTCTTCCATAGTTTGTCTGTTAATACCGGAAAACAGATTCTATAGAAAATGTAAAACTGAATACCTAGAACATTGTGACTTCGATCAGCGCTCCGCTATTAGTAAAATTAGAATCAGTGCCCACTCCTTGGAAATCGAAAAAGGGCGATATATGAAACTACCTGTGTCGGAGAGAATTTGTAAATATTGCTCCTCAAATGCAGTGGAAGACGAAATTCATTTCATCTCTAACTGTCCATTTTATGACGACATCAGAAATCAATTATTTACCACCGTGTCCAAAATGCTGCCTTACTTCCCC